CATATTCTCTCTCTCTCTCTCTCTCTCTCTCTCTCTCTCTCTCTCTCTCTCTTTGAAAACTTTGATAATTTAAATTGTAAGAGAAGATCTCCAGGTGATAATTGCAAAAAGAAAGAATAAACCACCAAAATTTCCAAAGATTGGCAAATAATAGCTATGAAGATTATTCTGACATACTTATATTTACATTTGGTGGTTAAACAATGGAGCTTTTCCTGTGTTCCGTTTTGAGTTGGCACCATCACTAATAGTACTCATGAAGTATTTACTTTGACTTATAGTGTCATGGGGGGGTCAGTGTCAGGCGTATCCTGAATAATACTAAAGTTGATACCATAATAAATAGTAATTGTCATTTCTGTAAAATATAGCACTTTGAGTTTTGCATGCCAATTGAAGTTAATTGATTCATTGATCAACTACAGGTTAAGTTGTCTTGAGAATTAAGTCTCAGATTTTAGGTTTTCAGGTTTATTCTTTCTCAAAAATTTAGCTCTTTTTATTTATTTTTCTTTCTTTCTAAGGCAGAGTTTTGCTATGGAGCCTAGGCTTAACCTTGAATTTGAAATCCCCCTGCCTTAGCCTCCCATATAGGCACACACCATCATACCCAGCATTTTTTCTTCTTGTAAAGATGCTATACATGTTGATTTTTGCCATTTAAAAACAATCATAACACTGAATAATTCTAAATAATTTCGGAGGAATGATTTAGTTCTTTAAGTACATAGAGATCTTAAAAGGTTCATTGGTTTAGGCTCTTACTACTTCATAATTCTAAATAGCTAATTTCTGAAGAAAAATTCCTTAGTTGATTATGGTATACTTGACAAATTATTCAGATATACACAGTTCGAATTTGTTTTTGGTAAATTATATTAGACTACTGGCAGTTACTACCTTTTTCCCTTTTAGTTAAAAATTGGTTCTCTTTCTATTTTGTTCAACTTTTATGAAAAATAAAATGAAAAAACTTAATGATTGAGACACTTGGGAAACATGTGTAAATTGGAAATAAAATTTCCTTGTTGATTTTGTTAGCAAGTGTCCCATCATAAAAATGACTTCTTTTTTATAATGTATTTTACTTTAATAAATGGTCATCTTTGAGATCCCATTTAGCTTTTATTTAGATTTCAAAAGAGACACTACAGGGATAAAAATAGAGACTAAAATATTCTGATTTTCTGCAAGACATAGGAGAGAAAGGAACCTAGATTCTTTTACTTCTTTCTGTTGCTTCAGCTGAGTCACCTAAAATATAGCTCTTCATTTCAACCCTGCCTTTTATTTAGCCATCAATCTTATATATTATAAAATAGCATTAGGACCATAGTGTGGTATATTGTAATAATCCTACCTTATTTCACCTTTGCTGCTAGTTTTTGATTTTTATCTTGGTTAAGTGACTTGTTTTAGTACTTACTACATTTACCAAGTTTTACATCTTGTAGGATTTTCATATAAGAAAATTTTCTGAACTTTTTTCAGTTATTCTAATTAGCAAAAATTTAATTTTGTTTCCCAAGTTTCAATTTTATATTCTTCATATATACTGTGAATATTTGTTTTTTGTCTTCTGAAAAACGTATATTTCCAAGTTTAAATTATTGACAGCTTTCATTAGCACTGTTTTTTTTTTTTTACCAAAGTTAACAAATTTCTAAATGAAACTAAATCCTAAAAATTGGTTCTTTAGCCGGGCGTGGTGGTGCACGCCTTTAATCCCAGCACTCGGGAGGCAGAGGCAGGCGGATCTCTGTGAGTTCAAGGCCAGCCTGGTCTACATAGTGAGTTCCAGGACAGCTGGGGCTACAGGGAGACCCTGTCTCAAAAAGACCAAAAAAAAATTGGTTCTTTACAAGTGAAGTCATGCTTGTATTGATTTGCGTTTATGGTGGTTTGCAAATCAGTGCCAATAAATAGACTTAGTAAATGTTTATGACATATATTTTGTTAAAATATGAATACAACCTGCTGTAGTTTCTTTAGCAATTTTGAGCTTGCCTAGAATTATATCACTTATTTTTTAATATGAGCCACTTATTAAAAGTGACCTTATAAAAATTTATAACATTTATATTATATTCATAATTCTTTAATATGATTAAGTGATTGTTCATGCATATTCTTCCTGTGAAGTTTCTTAGGTGCAAGGACATTACAATTTTCTAAATGCTTAAATTGGTTTGAATGTAAATTAGCTAATTAGCTAATTCCCAACATATCTTACTCAAGCTTTACATTTGTCTTCTCAAATCTGTATGTTCTAACATTACAGATTTAGGTTTTTGACCTTTTGCAGTATTGAGATAAGGCTAATACCTTCTCATTGTAACTCTTCAGAATGAAAGGATGATAGCACTTAGTTGTTAGAAATGATTACCTTATTTGATACGACTTAGTATTTCCTTTATGAAATACAGTTTTTCTTTCATTGTGATTTCAGTTGCAAATATTCCAAGTTTAGAACCTCCTTGTAGAATTGCCTAGTAATTTAGCTAACAGATTTTTCAGAGGTTTTAAGCATTTGAAATGGTTTAACATATTAGCAAAGTGATAAATAAATGTACACAGAACAATTTTTATTGGACATTTACCTGAAAGGCTTTCCTAAGCATTGATTGATATTTTGGGGGGCTCTGTAAACTTTGGTAGGTCATTGCATATTTCAGCAGTCTAGTGCATAGCTTAATGTTGAGGTATTTAATATTTTTCTTATTTTTTGTTTTGAGATACTTAAAAAGTAGTGTTGGTTCTTGTACCATTCATTGTCGTTTGTCCTCATTAGTTGATTGTTGTGTGTTAAACCAGACATCCCTGGAGCTTATTCTCCACACTCTGTGAATCCACTCATTAATCACCAGTCACCTTTGGAGATGGGAAAATTACTTACCTGTATTTCTTTTTCTCAGAAAGCGTGCTCTGGAATGGATTCACAAATGAGCTACCCTCCTTCCCTCAAAGAGTAAGGTTTCTGCTTTACAGGAATTTTTTTTTCTTGGGTTATTTTTCCTCTCATCTTTTGAATTTGAAAAGAACTGAGGGAAGGCACGTGAAGAAACTACTGACATACTCACTAGGGAGTTCCAAAGCTTGTCCTGCCCCTAGGGGCAGTGTCAGTGGCTCTTAAAGCTAGAAAGCTCATACTTGGAGTTGAAACAGGGGCTCAGAGAATCCATTTTCCCAGTGTACCTTCTGAAAGGATAAGTTTCAGGTAAGTAATTTTCTCTACTATGTGATATGCTTTATTCATACTTAGAAAACTGCTTACAATTCCAGTCCTCCAGGTACAGAGGTAGCTGTATTTGTTCACATTTAGGTTCATAGTTGTCCTGAAAGTCAGAAATATGAAAACTTGTGGAGTAAAATATATTTGCTCATGAGATACATGAAATCACAGTATATTTTGAATGAACAGTATATAACTAAAGGTGCATTTATGACCCATGTATTATGTTAGTACTGTAGTTTTCTTTATTAATAAAATCTTGAGAAACTTAAGAAGCAAGAAAGTATCTTTTGAACTTAGTTTCTCAGTGTTGATTGATTAGTGTGTATGTGTATGCAAGTGCATGTGTGTGCTTGTGTACATGCATACATACATACATACTAAAGTAAGATGATGGCAACAATTTTCTTGAAATTAGATGCTGTCTTTGTGTATGTGGACCAGAATGGGTTGAGCAAATAATTTTAAAATACTTGTATAATTTTCAGGAGAACAGTAGCTGCACATGGCTTTTTAAAAATATGAACTATTCAACCATTTATATTTAGTTTTTATGTTACTAAATTTGAGATGGTTACAAAAGAATAACAAAAAGTACTGAAGTACTAAAGGTTTACCTGAATTGGTTTCATGTGTATTTTGTCATTTGCATTAAATTACACATTGATTCTGGTATTTTAAAGTATTTCAAATATCTCTATACTTTCCTTCAGAAGTACTTTTAAAGTTAAATAGATCATCTATAGGAATATATCATTGAAAATATTGTTATATTTTCTACCTACTTTCCTGGCAGGGTCACTGCTTAAACAGCTCTTAGAAGTAAGGGGTTTGAGTACTAAATCACTCTCAGAATGTATACTTTTCCTTGCACCTGGGAATAGGAGTCTTTTTTTTTTTTTTTTTTTTTTGGTCTTTTTGAGACAGGGTCTCCCTGTAGCCCCAGCTGACCTGGAACTCGAGATGTAGACCAGGCTGGCCTTGAACTCACAGAGATCTACCTGCCTCTGCCTCCCAAGTGCTGGGATTAAAGGCGTGTGCCACCATGCCCAGCCTAGGAGTCTTTATATAAGACAGTTATGTCTCACTCATAAGGTTTATAGACAGAAGCTAAAAGGACTGACTGTTTCCAGAAGTAGGGAAAAGGAATGTATTTGTGTAAACCTGAAATGGTTCAGGTTCACATTACTTTGGTTTTCTCTAAAATAGTGGTTTTAGAATAGTGACAGTGAATCAGAATTTTCTTGTCGAAGGTGTTCATTTAATTACTTGTTTCACAAAAGATGTTGGGCAGCTTTATCAAAAGAACTTTGAAACAGGAGTGAAATGTAGTACCAGTGAATAGAGTCAGAAAGGTACGGTGACTGAAATGTAGATTTGGCCTTGAGCATTCTTCTCACAACTACCTGGCAAGTGGGAAATGGGGTCAATTTTACAGTCCTCAGGATAGATACTTCTCACTACATATGTATAGTACACATTCTCTGTAGGAAACAAAGCTATAACTAACTATAGATTTTGAAAGAAAGACCTGATGGATATTTAATAGGGAAGCATTGAGGGCCTACAAGATGGCCCAGTGGGTAAAGGTGCTTGTCACCAATCCTGATAACCTTACTTTGAATCTTGGGACCCAAATGGTGGAAGGAGAGAACTGATATTACAAGTTGTTCTCTGACTTCCACATATGCACACATTTATATACACATACAAATAAATTTTTAAAAGTTTGAAAATTAAAATATGGAGGCATTGAGTGATAATATATCTTTTAAGAATTCTTTTAGTTCAGACTGTCACAGTTCTCATAACTGTGGCAAAGTACAGTAATCTTGTTAAATTCAGACACTATTTCACAGCCTGTTTAATTCTAGAATAGCTTCAGTTTTAAGATACTAGTTTAATAAAAACTCTTGTGGGAAATTAATAATTATTATGTTGAGTGTGACATATAGTGGTATATGTAGTTAGAATGTGAAAATTAAAGCTGGGCATGGTGGCACATATCTTTAATCCCAGTGCTTGGGAGGTGGATCTCTGTGAGTTCAAGGGCAGCCTGATCTACATAGTGAGTTCCAGGCCACCTGGGACTATACACAGAGACCCTGTCTCAAAAAGACAAAAAAAAAAAAAAAAAAAAAAGAAGAAAAAGAATGTGAAAATTAAGGAATATGGTATATTTTAGGAAGGTAAATGTCAAAAGTGATTAACAACAAAATATGAAATACTAAATTCTGGATGTTTTTTTAAAGATATCAAAGAAAGTTTTATAATTTTCTGCTATATTATAGTAGTAAGATTTGAAATCATCATAATCTAGCCAAATAGTCCTATTTTCTTAATTGTGGAGATAATAATTGGATGTATTAATAGAATTCTAAACATGAAATCTCAAAGACATAGTTGTGTGAGTAGTACATCTAACATTAGAAATGCCTTTTGTGACAAATCTTTAAAAATAAGGAAAAATAAAAGTAATGAAGGTGGACTGGGTATGGTGGCTTTAATCCCAGCATTTGGGAGCCAGAGGCAGAGGAATCTCTGAGATCGAGGTCAGCCTGGTCTACCTAGTAACCTACAGGCCAGCTGGAGCTATAGGGAAACCCTTTCTCAAAAAATCAACCCTCCCCCCCCCAAAAAAAAAAAGTAATGAAGAAAAGCATTGCCGGAAAGTAGACTTAAGTGTATCTGGAATGCATCATAGTTAAATAATCTGTAATTAGTTATGAACAAATTTTTGAATTTCATGACTGTAGTCAGAAACTACTTCCTGAATCTTTGTTTTCTGTCTAGCTTTTAAGCTTCTTTTTTAACGTCTGTTATTTGAAGAACAGCTGAACTTTGAATATTTTGTGTTCATACTCTTACTGAAATGTGATGTCAGTGTAGGACTGTTTATTATATTCATTCTTTTGTGAATTCTGTTCACATAAGGCACAAGTATCAATCCTTTTCTGAGTAATGCAAAATTTAGATCCTTTTTTAAAAATCATAATCATAAAAATCACACAAGCTGCAAGTATCACCGACCTACACATTTCCTTCTGTCAGAGATCAGATCTTTCATTTGTATAACGATAAGCTTTCATTGACATCTCACACTGAGATAGTTTTCTTAAATCATATTCTTTGGGTTACCTTCCTTTATAGACTGATACAATGTTTAACAATGCTTCTAACTTTAAGCTGTTTTGTTTCCTTATTGTATTGCTGGTGACTTTAAGGTTCCTACAATATGGAATAGTTTTTAACATCATAAAACATTGGTGATATAGCATTCTTTTATTACCTTCCCAAATATGCCTACTATTTTTATGTTGAGGGCTCTTGGGAATTGATTCTCTCAGAGGCTTAAGCTGTGCTTTGCCTTTCATGAGAACTGAAATTATTTGGTAAGCGCTTGCTTTCTTTTTAGCTTCTAATTTTTCCCTATTTTATTTTGTACATGATATTTGTTTCAAGGTCAAAGGTTCCGTTACAGTTACTATGATGAATCCCAGGGGGAGATTTATAGATCCATTGAACATCTAGATAAAATGGTAAGTCTTTCAGGTGTGGGGTTTTAATGCTCTAAAGACCTTTTCTTTAATTGCAGATTAGTGATTCAAGACTTATTATGTTAAAATGTACAATGGGTTAGCAATTCTTTCCCTGTCTTGAGTTAAAAGTACAAAATGTAATATATCCTCAAATGAATAATTCCTCTAAGAATAATCCTTATTCTACTAGTAGAACTTTCCCTCATCATACTTTTATTTGATTAATGAGAATTATTTAAATTTAATTAGATAATACATTTTAAATTATATTTTTGGAGAAGTATTTTAGTTTTAGGGGCAGGAGCATATTAATGTTAATACTTCTGTTATACTGTAATAATAGTAGAAGATGATGACATTGATTCTAATCCCTGATTGATGGCTATCTCAAATACTTATTTTAATTCTTTCTGAACTATGTTGTTTCTTACAATTTATTAAATAACTTAGTATTTTATTTTTAGGTTTGGTTTGTTAGTAGGTCAAGCTATTGTCCGTGAGTGATACTGAAGATTTTATGAACTAGTTAATGAAAGGCTGTATATGGTAGAAAATACCCAGAGACATAGAGTGTAAATAACCTAAAATTGTAAATGTTTGATTGAAAGTCTTTAGGATTTGAACTTTCACCCTTTCCTTCTGGAAGTATTGACATCATTGCCCTTTATTTTTAAATTTTTTTGCTTTACTGCATATTAAACTCAGTGCTTTGCACATACTGGGCAAGTGCTCTTCCATTAAGCTGTTTCCAGTCTGACAGCTTAAGGTCATAATGATAGGTGTTTCTTTCCAGTCTGACAGCTTAGGGTCATAATGATAGGTTGTAGTAATTCAGCAAACTTAAATCTTTTCTGCTGTACTACAGAAGTTTTACAAATACTTCATTCTAAAGTTTTAAAATTTCAGGCATGTTTAGTTTGGAATTACCTCTTTTTTTTTTTTTCTTCAAAACCCTTCAATGTGAACTTAATTTTACTGAAATTAATAATCTAAAACATAATTTTGAGCTTTGGTGTATTTCTATAAAACCTCCTGTAAGTCTTATTGTCATGAATTGCATTTTCATTTCTCATTCATCATATTAACCTTGAATTTGAAGTTTCTGTGGTCTGTAGCTTATGTCTACTAAAGGAGCTATAGAAAATAGCTTAAGAAAACAGGATTACATTTTATCTGTAGAAGTAACTTTTTTCCTCTCTGCTCTTTTTATAAATTCTTAGCTTAAAATTTTATTTTATTTTATATTTTTTTCTTTTATTATTTTATTGCCACTGGGTTTTTCCAAAGTTAAATTTTAATTTGTTTTCCTAAATATAGAGTTTCAAAATACAATTATATTTTTACCTAGGTTGGGAGTATAGTCAACATTGCTACTATGGCTATTTTTTCTTAAAGTAATTAATTTTTAAAAAGTCATATTAGTGCTGGGCGTGGTGGCTCATGCCTTTAATCCCAGCACTGGGGAGGCAGAGGCAGGCAGATCTCTGTGAGTTCAAGGCCAGCCTGGTCTACATAGTGAGTTCCAGGACAGCTAGGGCTACAGGGAGACCCTGTCTCAAAAAAAAAAAAAAAAAAAAAAAAGTCGCATTAGTAATTTTGGTGTCATCTCATAGACAATATTCAGTATAGTAGGACTGTCACTAATTTGCTCTGCGACTTCTGACAAGGCATTTCAATTTTCTAGTCCTTATTTCTTTTCTATAATAGATTCTTGGATGTGATGATCTCTAAATTATCTTTAAATTCTGTATCTAAGCCTGCATCTGTTCACATCGACTTTGTACATATGTTTTAGGAGAAAAGTAGCTAATAAAGTAGCTAATATATTTAAGTAAGGAATCTGGATCTGAATCTATACTTAGAATGTATCATACAATGTGTTTTATTAAAGTCAAATGTAGTGAATGCAGATATTATGCAAGATATCTTACTATATTCAAATTTATCTTCACTGCAGCTTGAAATCCAGTTATGGTCTAATGCTGTAGAAGTTTTTTGGATTTTAATTTATTAGCTTTATGGTATTTTCATTAAAGATAATTAACTCCTTTTTGCCTTCTAGTACTAGTTCTATTATTCTGAATCTTAATTTCAGTTATATCATAAAGCCTCTGGGTTTACCATCATTTGTTTTCTTCATATAACAACCTTGTTATATATAATAACCTATTAAGTGCCTGATAGTGGGCTGGTCATTGACTTAATGGAACTTAATTTAAGTACAATGATTAAAAGACTTAAAAAGGAAAGCCTGGCATGGTGGCAGATTTCTGTGAGTTTGAGATGAGCTTGGTTTACATAGCGAATTCCAGGCCCAGCCAGGGCTACCTAGTGAGACCCTGTTTCAAACAAAACAAAACAACCTCCCCACCCCCCAAACAAAAAACCCAACCTAAACCAAAAAAGACTTACCAAGTAGCCATTACGGCACAGGGATGAGAGTTACTGTTATTAGGATGTAGAGAACATATGAACCAAGTAGTCTGGGTAATTTCTGGGTTCTCTTCTTACATAAATGGTGTTATTCACTTACACAGGAAATGTAAGGGACATATTTAGGAGAAACAGGAGTTTAATTTTAGATATACTCAGAGTTGCACTTTTCAAAACTGAAGCTGTTTGTCATATGTATTTATTGAACACTGAAGTATGAATATTGTGACTTGGTGTGCTGTAAGTATAAAATACACATTGATTTCATTTAGAATGAACCCAAAACAAAAACACACTTCAATAAAGATTTTTATCTTGATTAAATAATGAAATTAAAATATAATGGATTGCCAGGCATGGTGGCACATGCCTTTAATTTCAGCACTTGGGAGGTAGAGGCAAAGCAGCTCTCTGTGAGTTTGAAGCCAGCTTGGTCTACATAGTGAGTTCCAGGTCAGCTGGGGCTGCAGGGGGACCCTGTTTCAAAAATACCCAAAAAAAAAAGTGTGTGTGTGTGTGTATCAAGAGTATCAAATGGTATTTTATATGAAGTTAAGAACTTCATAAGAATAGTTTCAGAAGAATAATTTAAGGTTAGAAACTACATTGGAATGAAGAAGTAACAAAGTGACAAAAATTTTCTCTATTGGTTTTCCTCTGACAGGAAAGAGTAGTATTTGAGTGTTAACTGGCTTGATGAATGAGATGATACAGGAAGCATACATAGTCAAAGGAAGACTTTGGTTTCTTCCTTTTCCTCCTACTTCAGATAGTCTCCTTGGATGATGATATTATTACACTTTCTTTTTTAAAATATTTCTTTTTTTTTTCAATGTGTATGAATGTATTGCCTGCATGAATGTAATTGCACCCATGTCATACAGTGCCCATGGAGGTCTGAAGAGGGTGTTGGATTCACCAGGAACTGGAGTTATGGACACCTGTTAGCTGTCATGTGGGTGCTGGGAATCAAACCTGGGTTCTCTGCAAGAGCAGCCAGTGATCTTAACTGCTGAGCCATCTCTCCAGCCCCACACAGAAAGTAATTTTATAGCTCAGACTGACCTCAAACTTTCAACCCTCCTGCCCGTAACCTCTCAGTGCTTGGATTACAGGTGTGTACCAACCCACCTAGCCCAAGAAAGCAGTTTTTAAAGGCCTCTTGTACCAAAAAATTGCCCAAGTAAGTAACCTTCCTTTGTGTTTTTTTTGACAGACTTTCTGCATCAAAACCAGTAAAAACATCTCTAGCCAGGGCTCCTCTCTCAAATTATCTACTTTGATATTTCCACTGGCATGTTATATAAATAGTCCAAACCAAATATGTTAACAATTGAAACTCCTGACTTTTTCTTGACAAAATTTGTTCTTACAGACTTTCTTTTTTTTTTTTCTTTTTCTTTTGGTCTTTTTGAGACATGGTCTCTCTGTAGCCCCAGCTGTCGTGGAACTCACTATGTAGACCAGACTGGCCTTGAACTCACAGAGATCCACCTGCCTCTGCCTCCCGTGTGCTGGGATTAAATGCGTGCGCTGCTATACTCAGCTTCTTTATTTTTTTTTCATATTTTATTTATTATTTTTATTTTATGTGTATGAGTGTATTGCCTGCATGTATGTGAGTGCACCCATGTTGTGCAATGCTGTGGAGGTCAGAAGAGGGCTTTGGATTCCCCTGGAATTGGAGTTAAGGATGGTTCATTGCCGCCATGTGGGTGCTGGGAATAGAACCTGGGTCCTCTGCAAGAGCAGTCAGTGCTCTTAACAGCTGAGCCATCTCTCCAGCCCTGCTTACAGACTTTCTTAACTGGTTATCTTAGACCTTCTGTCATCATTTCAGTCTCAAATAACTTGAAGTAGGAGCCAGAAACGTTTTTTTTTGGGGGGGGGGAGTTCTTTTGGAGACAGGGTCTCCCTGTAGCCTCAGCTGGTCTGGAGCTCACTGTGTAGACTGGGCTGGCCTTAAACTCACAGAAATCTATCTGCCTCTGCCTCCTGAGTGCTGGGATTAAAGACATGTGCCACCTGCCCAGTTCCAGAACAGTATTTTAAAAAACTCAAATCAGATTATATAATTATTCTTCCCCAAATCTCTATAATATTGCCTATTTCAGTAAAAGCCATGTGTTTACATTGAATGACCTACAGGAACAAACATGATTTGCAGCCTCACTTTCTCTCTTCCCTTTTCCTGTCATTCACTCTACTGTGGATAGATTAGTGTCCTTCCTTATTGTTCCTTGATACTACCATCCATATTTCCTGCTTTTGCCGTTTGTTCTTTTTTGCGCTGAGTTGCTTTACATACATAACGCTCTTCATACTTTAACAGAAAGATACTCATCAAACAAAATGAATAAGTCACACAGGAATAAGTACTGAGAATAAAAATAAAGCTGGGCAAGCTGACAGAACAACCGTTCATATGAGGACCGTAAGAGAATATTAATGCATGTGTTTTTGATTGTCCTCAAAACTAAGAAATTTTAGGATTTGGTAGAATTTTAAGGATACTGATACAGGAAAATTTCAGACACAAAGAACTATTTTCCATCCATAAGACTTTG